TTTTTTTTTTTTTTTTTTTTTTTTTTTTTTTTTTTTTTTTTTTTTTTTTTTTTTTTTTTTTTTTTTGTATCGCGTTCAGGGTACTTTACTGGACCGCATTGACTACAACTTAGAACAGGTAGCGCAGCAATCAGCTGATGCAACAAATGAAATAAAAAAAGCTGAAGAAAGCAGACGCAGCGGCTTGGCGGCTAAATGTATTTTCTTTCTATCTATGACTATCATTGTCTTGGTGAGAATATACAAATATATTAAACATATATATATATATATATATATATACATATATAATATATATATATATATATATATATATATATATATATATATATATACATATATATATATATATATATATATGTATATACATATATATGCATATATATAACTCGAAATGAAGAAACAGTAAAGATTAACGACTCTAAGCATCCAGAAGTAACATACATATAACAGTAAATAACAACAAAGGGCTGTATGTTGTTTTCTTTCATCTCCTACATATTCATTTTTTTAATATTTGGGTTTTTCTTGTTTGCAGCTCGTCCTGCTTATAATTAAACACACATAAACACCGCCAAGGAAATTCAACGCCACAGTGGGGCCCTGAAAGCCAGCCACCTCAGCCTTCAGTTCTTTACCTTCCGCTGCCGAGGCTGCGACAACATATATGTATATATGCTTGCATGCACAGCGGCATGCATATATCTATGCATGCATGCATGCATGCATGCAGTGTTATGCATATATTCATGCATGCGTGCATGCATGCATGCATGATAGCTGCAACGATGCAGCCTGTTGAGGGGTACAAGCCTAAGACAACAACATGTGACGGTGGGGTGTAGGAGACGAGTTCGAGTGCATGCAACTCCCTTTGTTGCTTGCACCCCTCTGTCTCCTGAGTCTGTGTGTATTTGTTGTTTATACTCTACCTCAGCTGCTCTATGCAGAGGCTGCGAAAAGATAGAAGCGCCTCTGTGAGTCAGTTCTATTGTCTGCCCGCTTCAATTGTAATCATTCTATTTTTCCCGCGGGTCTGTATTCCACCAGTACCAAATTTTTAGTTGCATAGAAACAGCGCTGTTTCATAAACAATCAGCATGTGGTGTATGTACAGCTCGTGGGCTACTTGCACTATAGGCGGCTTGTAGTGTGCTCTGTATAGGCGAAGAAAGCTAGGACGTAGCGGGCTGCTGCGTTAGTTTAGCTGCTGGTAGGTGTACAGCATGTTTTATATTATATTCGAGGGAAAATACAGATGACCCTTTAATTACTTCTTTGGTTTCTTTTCTGGGGGTGTGCAGCAGCGGGGCAGCGCCAGAGGCCCAGCCCGCTATGCTGCTCAGCAGAAGTTTCTCTGTATTAAGTAGTTATATGCAGTGAGCTGAGGTCGCCTGGCTCCGTTTGTGTCAATATAGTACTAACTCCAGTGTTTATTAAATACAAAAAAATTCACATACAACAAACAAATAAACAAATATGCAAACGAGGGGTGAGAGGCCTATTGCAGCAGGCGGG